GTATAACCACAATCTCATCCCTATTATTCATGTAACAGCATCTATGAGTCATCTTAAATGTTAGCAGAATAGCAGTAATTATAATGCATTAGTGCGACATGAATGCGACCTGTGCAAGTACCTGATCTATTACTTTAATAAAATGTTTATTTAAACGGTCATAACACTAACTTTATTTAAATATGATTACTTTATTTATAGCAATATTTTTAAATATTTATGCTTTTAAAAAATCGTTTTAAATTTGCATGTTAAGATAAACATGAATCATAATTTATTCACGTAAACAATTTAATAATTTTGATCATTTATTATTATCACTTACAATTATTATAATCATGTAAATGTCTCAAAACATGCACATAGGGGCACTCAGAGATTTTGCGTACATACTTTATAAATAAAACCATATCACCACTATGATTTATATATAGAACGATTGGGACTAACATAAATAATGTATAAATAAAAAAATAAAATTAAAAGTTTTTTGAGATAGTGTAAAATTATTATTACCTATTTTTATATTTATTCGTTTCGTGCATTCATTTCATTATTTTAAAACCATTACTTTTATGAATTGAAGTTATATTTATTATACAATCCATTAATATTTGTCATTGTAAAAATAAAATTACATTTGATCACGCTAATTAAAAGGTTATTTTTCACTGATATTTTTAATATTTGATTAATTACATTGTGTACCAAATAAAGCAAAATATTACTTAGAACATGGGAGGGGCCGAACGATTCTATAAACTACATTATTCATATCTGAATTGGGGTTAATGAGTGAATTGCAGTCGTAATCTAAATAAAATTGCTACCAAATGATCATGTCCAGTTTTAGGGCAGAATTTTTTTTATGATAACCCAGTTTTGTTCAAAAGTGATCTGGCAAGTCTATACATATTGCCTATTGGATAAGATTGTGTGAGTTTAATGTGGGTAATTTTTATAAACAGAGTGGACGGGCTGAATTTTTTAGCCACTAATTTATACAATTCGTTTGCCGCCAAATTGACCGACGAAGCTGTGAATATAATTAAACAAAAGCCCATGGTAAATAAAATCATTGCGTAACCAGCGATTACCCTCATATAAAATATAATGTCTGCTATGGCAACAATATATAACTGTGTAATTATTGTGGCGCCAAATATAAACCAAACGATAAGTATATATTTGGACCAATAAGTGGTGTTGTATTCATCGATCTCCACATAAATGTCATTTAATTCCCGTATAATTGCGGGAATATTCCGGGAATTTTTATTTACTTTTGACAGATTATTGTTTATAACTTTAGTTTTGATTTTAATGTAGAAACATAATAAATAAAAGTACACTAACGACCATAATATAACACCGACAGCATTATATGCAACCCATGCAAATAGTAAGGCATTAGGTATACCGTATAACAGGGCCGGGAGTATAGGCTTATAAGTAATGTATGGTATTACACAAAATATTCCGATAAACGGTACAGTTTTTCCGCATATAAAGTGATTGATTTTAAACAAAACTCTTGATCTTTTCAGCAATAGGTGCACAGATTGCGGGTCCGATAGACCGATACTATTGGGTGTAATAATACCCGACATCATAGCAAACACGCGTAGAAATGTCGGTGAAATACCCGACCGGTAGTTATAATAAAATATCAATTGAATGCTTATTACTAAACATAGCGGAAATATTTCTGCCATAAATATATGATTTCCAATTCCCATGATATGTGAAATATCGCCAAATAGTAAGACAATTGTCTCATTTCTGCCATTGCTTATCATATGAAAAATATTTACTAATAAATATCCCCATAGAGTTAACGCTTTAACTATAGGTGTAGAATACCATGGTCTATTTGTGGGTGTTTTAGGTGCAGTAAATATTAGCCCAATTTTATACAATTGATTCTCTGCTGATTGTATTTGCAATTTATTAGGCAATAATTCATTGCAATTAATACCAGACATTGTCTATAAGAAAATATTTTAATTTATTATAATTTATAAATAGTAAATTAAATATCTAACCTCGTATATTTGTTTAAAATCAAAATACATCTTTTTATAATATAAATAAAATGACAATTATTATTTTTGTTTATAAACAGAGTACAGATTAATATCAAATATATATTTAATATAAACATTTTGATCGCCTTTTGAATCTATTTTAAGCATAATTATAATTTTGATTGTATAGATGTAATTTAAATAATTGCTAATTAAGTTAATACTGTAATTATTACAACATATTTAAATGTTAGTTAATACTTTAAATAGCAAACAATTTATTTTGACTTTTCAAGATAATTGCCGAGTTTTTACTTATACCTTATAAAACATACATAAAATAAATTTTATAAATTAGATTACGGCATTGCGTGCAATCCTTATTTATAACTTTTATTATCAACATATTATAATTATAATTTACAAAATATATTAAACTTAATTTGATAATAATATCACCCCCCCCCCTCAAGTGCTAACGTAATATGCGAATTACTTTTATTTTTTAAAATGCTGGTTTTGGTTCAATAAACGCCTTCACCTTGGTAACATAAAAATCTTGATCCGGAGGGTTTAATTGAGGTTCAACACAATTAGACGGACCAACAATGGGTGAGTTTAATTTAGGTATAACAAATGTACCATGTTGGTTGGCAAAATTTATAGCAATTGTATTATACAATTTTTTGCTTTGTAATTGACCGACGATGCAACAAATATTATTATCATAAAACCATTGATATAAACAAACATCATGTAATATCCAAATATTAACATTAAATGTGACATGTAAGATAATAAACAAAATAAAATATAATATCAGAATTACGGCATAACCACATATAAACCAAACCGATAGTAAATATTTGGACCAATAAGTGGTGTTGTATTCATTAATCTCCGCATAAATGTTATTTAATTCCCGTAATATTGACAAAATTTTTTGATAATTTTTATTTATATTTGAGAATTTATTATTATTAAAAACACATCCTCATAAAAAAGGTTTTGAAATATTTGATTTTCTATATTTTAATGTTAATAAAACATATTTACGGAAACTTCTCCATAAGAAATACCTTCCTATTGGAAACGAATTAACGGAAATTTAGGCAAAATTTGCAATTTTTATATGCTATGACAAAAGTACTAGCTATGTAGAATTGTAGCATTACAAAAATAGTTTATTACCATTTTACAAGACACATTAATTAACAATGTTTAGTTAATATTAATGTATTAATTGCTAATCAATATATTTGCGGGGATTTTGAACAAAATCTTCTAAAAGTTGCGACACTTTTGCCAAACTATTATCGGTTTGTACTCTTTGGGAGACTTCGGCCAAGCGTTCAGCCAATGCCTTATCGTTGAGCAGAGTCTTAATCGCGGCCAACAGCTCCTCCTCCGAGCACTTGTATGCGTCCAGTCGTATACCAAAGCCCTTGTCGTGCAGTCTCTGCGCGTTATCGTATTGTTCGCCAAATACAGGCATAGCAATCATCGGTCGGCCGAAGTATAGGCTTTCGGTCACTGTATTTATGCCGCCGTGAGTTATGACCAGATCTACGAGCGGTAGGACTGATAACTGCGGCACAGACTTTGCGCCCCACATATTGTCGGCCAGAGTGTACTCCTTATGCTTCGGACCCATCGATACGATAAACCGATGCGGAGATTTGGCCAAAATGGCGATTAATCGGCGCATGTTTTGCACGTCGACCGCACAGAAAGAGCCAAATGAAAAGTAGATCAACGCTCCGGGTTTTGCCGCCAAATCTGGCGGCACAGCGAATGTCATGTGCCGTTCGGTGCGCTGAAAATTATCAAAGCGGACATAATTGCGTCCCAACGGACGGATGTCCTGATAGTCCAACTCCAAGGGATAGCCGTATATATGAAGATAACGCGATGGGCTGTAAAAGCAGTGTTCAGGCAGTGGTTCGCAGCCCCGGCCGACCACCCAATCGTTAAACGCCCGCCACTTCTCTCGCTTTACGTCTCTAACCATTTGGCGAAACTCGTGCCACAGTCTCGGGTCTCCCGCAGCGGACAGTCCTATGAATTGAGCAGTCATTTAACACGTGATAATTTTTAATCGCTATTCATTTAAGATTAACGTGGAACAGAGGGGGTGGTGTCGCAACACAAAAGGTATTGTGATAACAAAACGCTAACAAACCTGATAGACCCGGCGGTGCCCTCTCATCGTCGAGCATCACGAGAGGGTCGGCGCTCCAACACCACACACACGGTATGCCCGACAACACCACTGATGGCAGTGTTACCAACTGATCCACAACTATGACATTGGGCCGAATGGCGGGCAACAGACCGGCCAACTGTGTGTCCATATACTGGGCGTGTTTTGTCCAAAACTCTGCGTGGCCTGACTCGAGTCGGGCCTTCTCTATGGGCGACGCGCCGCCAATTATACCCAACGACATCATCCGTTGCGCCCCATCATCGGTAACGTTACTATTGGCCAACTCTACCGTTTCGATGCCATAAGCGGCCAGTTTTGGCCGCCAAACGTCGTTCGCCGTAAACACCGCGCGGTGTCCGTCGGCTATCAATTGGGTCGCAATACCGATACAGGGATTGATGTGACCGTCGCCGAGGATCGGCACAAATAACACTTTAAGCGGCATTTTATATGTCATTGTTTTTAATGCAATTATTTTGTTTCAAACACAACCGTTTGTCTCACATCCAGACCCTCTACATTATACAGTATACAGTATACATACAATTACGACAGTCACTATCGTATGACTTTATCGTCACAGCAAACGCTTCCACATATAATGATAACTCATGTGTTGACAAAAAATAGTAAAATTTTAATGGTTTTGCGACCCACTTGTAATATTATAAATTAATTGTTGCATAAAAATAATTCTAAGCATTTATAAAAGAATTATATTAGGAATCAAACTAGACAATCATTATTTGACATAAATTTACATGTAAATGTATGTTTGCACAATGATTGCACATTTATATATTTTGCACATAAACACTTTTAAAATTAATATTCTAAAGGTTTTACTTGAATAGTGTTGGTATAAATATATATGTAAGGTATAATTGAGTTTCAGTTTTAGTATAAGTTAAGTTTATTTAATATTTATCGTATTAAATATTAACATTAGATTTAAAAATTATAACATACAGTACATTTATATGCTTTTAATACATTTAATTCATTTTCAATAGTATTTTTATAAACAATGGACTCATATTTGCATTTGAATTCGTGGCCTATCTATGGACTGAGTGTTACGATTGCTGTTTGGTTTTTATATAAGTAAGTTTCTAAACTAATTTGAATTTAATTGCCTTTTAAAGTAATCAGTAAACATTACATTGGCTTTACAGTACATAATTTAATTCGCAATATTTATTATAATGATTATGCTATTGTTATTATTAGCAGTAGATAATAGTAAGATTTAATAATGTTTATTAAAAAGTAATACAATTTATTTAATTACATAACATACAGTAATATTGATAAGTAGAGTAATAAAGCAAAGCAGGAGTAAACATATTTAAGGTTTTACACTTGAAAAAATAATAGTTTATTAAAAATAGTTATAAAATTACATTTATTTTGTATGTTTTGTGAGATTTTAATTGACTTTAAGTCATTTGAAAAAGTTATGAAACAATACAAAAGTTTAAACTATTTTTGATGACTAATGCATTATTAATACTGGGATTTTCATTAAAGATTTTCCTCCTGCCTTTGTCTTTATTATTCTACTTATTAATATTCCTGTAGATTACGTTATAAAGTTAATTTAAGTTTTTTTAAACAAAATTACATAGTATAAACTTTATTATAAAAGTTTGTAAAACTAATTCTTCGTTAATTGTTTCAGATTTCACAATCAAATTAATTGTTTATAAATGTATAAATATTGTGAAATGGGTATACAGTTAAACCCGATTTTGACCAAAATATACAGTTAGTTAAATAATAACTAGCCACCAGCCATTAAGGCTGTTACCCATTTCATCATTCTATACACCTCTATAGTTTTCACTACCCTCCCACCCCTATTGTATCATAATATTTATTGTGACGTTGTTTTCTATTTTCCTGCCTACATCCAAATGTAAATATGATTGAGCTAAAATAGATTATTGATCATTACATTTAAAATACAGAATTAATTTGTAGTCTTTGTGAGATTTTTAAAATATTTACGGAGTTTTGTATTATACAAAAAAGACGATTATGTTTTTTAGTATAAAGAGAATAATACATGTGAACGATGCAAGGTTTTAATTTGTATCAACCTTAATACAAAAATTAATTAAGGTTAGCAAATTAATAACTACTAGTTTTTTAAAAATTGTTATTGTAGTTTTTAATATTATTTGTTTTTACATTTGCCAGTTTTAATACAAATAATTAAGCTCAAACTTGTCATCATATTCGGTAATTTACAAACATTGTATTTTTACCAACCCTGCCACAATGAAATAAGGTTTCTGGTCTATCTGGTTTTTGAAATTGTCGTTTTTAATAATATTTGTATTTATTTTACAGAGTTTTAGTAATAATATAAAATATCTTGCTATAATTTTAATTGTGTTGGTAATTTTAATTGTATTTGAATTAAGTTAAGTTATGTTTTTTTTATTGACAGGCATTTAAGCCGTAATTTTGGTTTCTTTGATACTTTGGGTCTCAAAGGGCCGAAACCAGTGGTCATCTTCGGTAATCTATTAGACCTGCTATTCGTGTCAAAGCCTGACCTCGAAGTGCAGCGAACGAAACAATTTGGCAAAATCTATGGGTAATTACTAATTATATGTAATTTAATTACAAATTAATTAATGTAAATTGATCACAAATGAACTAGAATATTTGAGGGCAGCAAACCTTTAGTACAGGTGGCGGAACCCGATATAATAAAACAGATCCTGGTGAAAGACTTTCGCGTGTTTAACACCAAACCGCGCATCACGAATGTTGGCCACCCGGTCATCGAGAGTATGCTCATTACAACCCGGGGCGACACCTGGCGGAGGGCGCGCACAGCGGTAAGCCATGGGTTCACAGTGGCGCGCATGCGCAAACAGTACGTGCCTGTGCGCCACTGCGTGAGCGAACACCTATTGCCTGTGTTGTACACTCACGCCGACTCACGCACGCCGTGTGATCTGAAACGGGTTTACAGTTGCTTCGCGTTGTCGTGCATAACGCGGTGCGCGTTCGGCGTCCCAACCGATCCCTACAACGAACCCCAACACCCGTTTGTGGCCAACGCGTGGCCAGTGTTTCGGCTCCCGGTGTGGAAACTATTTGCCCTACAAGTGCTGCCGCCCTATGCGTTGCGCTTATTGAATATCAGCTCGTTTTTTGACGAGACGCGTATCGCAAATATCGCGCGTACTATACGTCAGATAATACGCGCGAAAGCGAGTGCCGGCGATAATGGCGACGATTTTATTAGCGCTGTTATAAACTCAAAGCCCGATGTTTATGATGATCAAGGTGATTTATTTAAATTTCAACATTATTTAATGTTGAAACCATTATTTCAAACTATTATTACCAAATATAAATTATTTAAAAACATTTTTCACGCGCAGATGTGGACAGTCTAGTGATGGCGGCCAAGACTGACGGCCAAAACGTGGTGAAAGCGCCGTTGACAGAGGACGAGATGGTCGCCCAGGGGTTCAATATATTCACCGCTGGGTTCGACCAAATGGCAAATCTATTAGCGTTCGTGTCTTACGAATTGGCGCTCAAACCGGAAGCGCAGGACAGGCTGTACGCGGAGATTGTGGCCGCCGGCGCCCACACTAACGGTGAGATTAGTTACGACGAGTTGCGCCGATTGCCATACATGGATGCCGTGGTAAACGAGACACTCAGACTGCACGCCACGCCCGTGAAGCTCAGGCGCATACCGGGCCATGACTTCCCGTTGGCCGGCACCGGGATTGTTGTGCCGCGGGGTCAGCCCCTAGAGATACCGATCTACGCTAACCATCACTCGGACGAGTACTTTCCCGACGCCGAGCGTTTCATTCCCGAAAGGTTTTTGCCCGAAAATCGTCACAATATAAAGCCGTATACTTTCCTGCCGTTCAGTACCGGTCCCCGGGTTTGTGTGGGAAAGCCGTTCGTGTTGTTGGAGACTAAGCTGGCGTTGTTTCACGTGTTGCGTCGCTTCCGGTTCGCCGTCCATAAGGACACAAAAGTGCCGCCAATTGTCAAAACGCATCCAATGATCAAATCACTAGAATCGCTGTATATCTCGGTTGTGGCCCGAGATTAATACAAATGATTTTTTCCATGCTTGTTTTTTTAATTTGTTAGCTATTTTATAAAGCACTAGTTTAGTTTAGTTTTGGATATCTAATAGTATTTATCCTATATCATTGTTGATTTGTAATTTTATTTGAATTATTGTTATAACAAAGTATTAATTTTTAAACAAGAAATTATCAATGATTTATTAATTATTATAATTACAATTAACTATATTATAAATATTTTAGAGTTATTATTATCTAAAACCTGTATTAACTGTCGATTTGGGTTTTGTGCCTGTTATCTGGTTTTTCCCGACCGACACACAAAAAATTATAACTTTGTATTAAAATTTTAGACCAATTTAAAATTGAATATTGAATAAATGTTATTTAACTTATTACATAATTATTAAATCTATATTCATACAGTGTAATAAATAAAATAAAATTTCGAAATATAATTAAAATTAATTGTTATTTATTTAATTTCAAATAATATTAAATTAGATCTAAATTTTAAATATAAATTAAGTGAAAATTAAGATTTAATTGTTGTCCGGGTTTATCTGCTCCATTCTCTGTATATTTAATAAATATTATTTATTATGTTGTTAAAAATAATGAAAATTCAATACCAGGAAAATTTTGAATTAATTTTACACATAACCAAGGTCCTTCATAATTCATTATATACTGTATAAACAATCGGGCTTTACAATTATTTATCAATTAAATAATCATTATGCTGTAGCATTGTTTTAAATGTACATTATGTTAAAATACTGAAATTATTTTAAACCTGAT